AATTTTTGGTGTTTTAGCTGGCAACACTGGCTCAATCATGAAAGGGATGCCAGTATTTAAACGAGGCTTAATTTTCTAATTATGAGTGGTTGTTTGTTTTGTAAGCAATAAAATAATTTAAAAATAATTTTTAACGATACAATAGCGACGATTATTATTTTAAAAAAAAAAATTGTTAGGCTTAACATCGATGAAAATTCAACGCAAAGTTGATTAATAGTGATATACTAATATACTATACTAATAATGTATTTTTTCATTCTTTTCGGTTATCCAATTTTTTCAGTTATCCGACCAACCTAAGTTCCCAATTGAGTCGGATAATCGATGCTCTACTGTATATATATATATAAAACTGAGTCCTATTATTTCAAATATTTAGAAGCTTAACAGACCTCTCTATTTTATTTCCAATAGATTACTAAAAGAATTTGATCAGTTATGTCATTTTTTAGTTCTAACCCATATACATGCAAGCATCAGAAGTATTCAACAAATTTAATCATATATAAAATAAATAGTATTAAATGAAGATTGTATGACTAGCTAATAAGTAAAAAAAAAAGTTATATTTCATTATACTAGTTCCATTTAAATCTAATTTTAAATATAGGTGAAGTGAATAATAGTAAGACATTCAAATTTTCTATAAAAATATATATGCATAGGCCATGGCATTCTCTGTGGAGAAATAGTTACCAAGCAGAGACAACATCCAGTTCATAAATTGCCACCATTAAATTAATATCATTTTATTGTTATATATCACATTTCTGACAAGGAAACTTTTTGATTTGATAATTTCATATTATTTTCTTAATTTATGTAATTGTATATTCTAGAAAAGTATAGGTAGGTGTTTTGCTTATTTAAAAAGATTTCTTTTGGTATTTATACATTTCACATTTAGACACTAAGTCTAATGAGGAAAATATTATCACAATATGTGGTGGGTAATAATGAGATACACTGTTATCCACATTTTTCTATAACATGTAAATTCAGATTTTGCATTAAAAAACATTTTTTTATTCAAGTAATATACAAAAGTTGATTAATTCAAAGTTTAATAATAAAAAAATTAAATGGAAGTAAGTCAAAGCATAAGACACTAAAAATATAAAGTAAAAAAAGATAAATCCAAGTATAACCAAAATGCTTTATTGTTATTGAAAATAAGCAATGTATAATCAAAATCATTATATTCTGTTTATTGTCTTTTCTGGAAGTTTTAAGCCTGTCTCACTTTACCTCATGTGGGAAATAAGGCAATTTTCAGATAAACAGACTAATTTTTATGGAACAAAAAATGTTTAAAATGACAATGTAATGTATGATATTATGCTGTATTAAATTTCATTTTAAGCAGGATTGGTTTTATACTATTATAGTATTGAAATAAAATGTAATTAAAAGGAAAGTGTCTCACTTTCATCTATATACTTTCTAACTAGACCAGTTTTATTAGAACATTATTATAATATACAACATAATTTGCATATAAATATATTATTANGATTTTATTTGAGTATTGCACTTTAGTATTTTACAGGTAGTACACTCATATGGTGTACTACCTCTACACCAAAGATCATCAAAATCCGTTACCCCAAAGCCGTAGGCTCTCCTTGTGAGTTACACGTCACTGATGTTATGTAATGCTGCTGTGACAATGCCATTATAGAGACCTAGTGGTGAATTTTTTGAAACTATTGGAACTATTTTTGAAACTGTCCACACTTTTCCTGTGTCAAACTTGCTTATCAAATTTTATTGATATATCTCTAATGATTTTGTCTCCAGAATGATGTAAAGTGATATACTTTAATTATAAACATCTTGTATTATCAAACAATTTACTGAGATTTATTTAATAAAAAGAACATTACTGAAATAATGTTATGCAGCACAACGTTCTAATGTTTTTAAATTGTTGCCCAGAACTGTTCTTAGAATCTCAGCATTTGTAAAATCTGACGAAGACTGAATATTAAGGTCGAAAACGTTTATTATTTCAATTAAATAATTTTACTGGATATTCAAAGGTTTTTGTGAGTCATTGATATATTTTCCAGTATCTTTACAAGAAGGTATTTAACTTTTTCAAGGTATTTGATGCAACATATCAGAAGTAATGAAACTTATTTTCCTTTCAATTTATCTGTTTAGTTCAGATAAATCTGCAACCCCACAATATAAATCCTGCTTTTAAAATAGCCACATAATCAGAACTTGCAAGGTGTGAGATCAGGTGAATGAGTAGGACATTGCATTGGAAAAGATTGACTGATTTCTCTTTCATCATCAAACATTAGTTTTGCAATGTTAGACAGTGTATTTTCACAATGACTGTAGTGTGAGCAATTGCACCCTCTTCAGTAAGATCGCATTTATGCAAATAAATGTGATGTTACCCAAACACTCTCTCTGCTCTAGTTTAGAGATAACAAAAGTTTAACTGACTGACTGACAAGGAGAGCCTACGGCTTTGGGGTAACGGATTTTGATGATCTTTGGTGTAGAGGTAGTACACCATATGAGTGTACTACCTGTAAAATACTAAAGTGCAATACTCAAATAAAATCGAGAAAACGGACTTAAAGATTTTTGAGCACTTTATATATAAATTATATGTGCTTCCAGTTAAGCGTCCTGTGGCTGAGTGGTAACGATGCTGGTTCGTATGCTTGAGTTTCCGGGTTCGATTCTCGTGTACACTTTTTTTTTTTAAATTCATAAATACTTATAATGTATTTATTTATTTACTCATTCATTTCTTATTATTTATTTATTTTCATTTAATTTCTACTATTCCAAGTCTAATATTTTTATACTTTTGTTGACAATAACGGCGCATTCTTGACACCTATGTGTCAACTTTCCCATCTAATTGTTATCACTAACGGTGACCGATCTAATTCTCACTAGGAGCGTTTTTTCTATCGGAGTTCTTTTTCACTCACTCTTTAACAGTTCGTTTCTAAATTTCGACACGAATAGACGTATTTGTGTAGTAAAACTTATTTTGAAAAATTATTTTATAATCGAAAAATGTCGTCAAGAGAAGCAAGTTCTTCACGTTGTGACGAAAAAACTGTTGATGATACCTTTTAAAAAAGCAGCATTTATTTGTTGTTCTTGGTGTAGACAGAATTTTTGTTTTGAATGTTTTTATCATAAGTATCATTCACGATCATGTACATCTGACAATGATATGTAATTATATAATATTGCTTCAATAAATTATATTCGTTTTTCTTGGTTATATTTGAGTTTTGCACTTTACAAGTTAGTATTTTACATCACTGTATAAAGAGTTATCATCAACAGTTTTTTCGTCACAACGTGAAGAACTTGCTTCTCTTGACGACATTTTTTGATTATAAAATAATTTTTCAAAATAAGTTTTACTACACAAATACGTCTATTCGTGTCGAAATTTAGAAACGAACCGTTAAAAGAGTGAGTGAAAAAGAACTCCGATATAGAAAACGCTCCTAGTGAGAATTAGATCGGTCACCGTTAGTGATAACAATTAGATGGGAAAGTTGACATATAGGTGTCAAGAATGCGCAGTTATTGTCAACAAAAGTATAAAAATATTAGACTTGGAATAGTAGAAATTAAATTAAAATAAATAAATAATAAGAAATAAATGAATGGGTAAATAAATAAATACATTATAAGTATTTATGAATTTAAAAAAAAAAAGTGTACACGAGAATCGAACCCGGAAACTCAAGCATATGAACCAGGATCGTCACCACTCAGCCACAGGACGCTTAACTGGAAGCACGTATAATTTATATATAAAGTGCTCAAAAACTTTAAGTTCGTTTTTCTCGATTTTATTTGAGTATTGCACTTTAGTATTTTACAGGTAGTACACTCATATGGTGTACTACCTCTACACCAAAGATCATCAAAATCCGTTACCCCAAAGCCGTAGGCTCTCCTTGTGAGTTACACGTCACTGATGTTATGTAATGCTGCTGTGACAATGCCATTATAGAGACCTAGTGGTGAATTTTTTGAAACTATTGGAACTATTTTTGAAACTGTCCACACTTTTCCTGTGTCAAACTTGCTTATCAAATTTTATTGATATATCTCTAATGATTTTGTCTCCAGAATGATGTAAAGTGATATACTTTAATTATAAACATCTTGTATTATCAAACAATTTACTGAGATTTATTTAATAAAAAGAACATTACTGAAATAATGTTATATGTTAAAACATGTCTTGATTAATAATTAAAACTGCATTAGTATAATAATGAATTCTGTATATAAAAAATTTAATCTTAAAAAGTATATTAGGTGATGTTCAATTGATGAATTTCTGACAGATTATTTCTTACATTTTATAGTTAAGAGTAAGAATAATTCGGCAAACTTGATACCATATTACATCATAATATTAAATTCCATTCTATCAAATATGAATATTTCCAATTATTCTGAGCAATTCTAAATATTTCATAGATCTAAAACTTAAAGATAATATAAACATGTCATTCCATATAAAATAAAATTGAAAATGAGCTCTCAAAAATTTTAAAAGCAATGCTAACTGAATAATAACTAAAGCTTAATAACATTCTAAAAACCCATAAATATATTAGTAGTAGTATAATATCATTGGAAACATCTTCACTTAATAATGGCATTATATATTTATTTCTTCAAAAATTCTCTCTCTAAATTTAAATACTTGCTTTATTCCTAAACCATCTGACTATCTTGAATTTTAAAATATACTTTTATGACTTTTATAAATTAAAAATACACAGAAAATTTTATTAAAATTATAGTGCATTATCATTAGTGAGTTTTTCATTTAATTCAAAATTATTAAAAATGTTAATAATATATAATACTGAACTTTTTAATAATTATAACAATTATAACATTAATATTAATTTATTATTTCAGAATTTTATCATCTTCATTTTGTTCATTTATATTGCATTTTTATTGAATTTATTAAAATTCATTTTGAGAAGCAGCAATACAGGCAGACTTACTTGGAATTCCGGATACTAATTTCAAAGGTCGTAGAACACGTATGGCACGTAAGGTTCTCAAATCTATTGACATATGGGCGTCCTGAACAAACATTGTTACATACCTGGAAGAATAAAGATGGGCTATGGCTCAACTACTACTACAAGGATTACTACTTTACTACAAGGATCTATTACTAATTGCTAAAGGAAAACAACTAATATCTATCAGACATTTTTGACATTTTTAATTTTATTTGAATTTAAATTTTAAAATACACTGCCTTACAGAGAAAACACATCATAATGAAGAAATGCTTGAAATGAGATGAAACTCAACACCACAGATAGAGAGTTCTGTTCAATTTCCGAACAGAACTCTATCTGTGTTCTGAACAATTAATTTAATTTCAAACAATTACACATCTCCTGTGACCCAATATATAGGTTGATTAGAAACTAGTGGGTCTACCATGTTGGGCAATAGTCATTAACACAACATGGCATTAATTCAATGAATACTCAAATACTATCCTGGAATAGTGTTGATTACATGGTATTGACCATAAGCCACAGTTCAACTTCGCTATGATGCTGTGGGAGAACATTCACTTAACATTCTACAAATTCTTGATGGTAGAGAGATATGGGAATCATACTTGGCCAAGGAATTACCTGGACATCTTGCAAAGCATGCCTGCTGATGTTCACTGTGTAAAGTTATGCATTATCCTGCTGGAAAACTGCACTGGGTATGCTCTGAAGATATGAGTTGCTACAGTCTGTTATACAACAACAGACTGTAGCAACTCTTATTGGTCTACAATCAACATGCTCTGATATGTACTAGAAGGTGATTGGTTGTTGATGCTGATAGCACCCCAAACCATGACTTCACATTCACGAGCTGTGTGATGCTTCAAAATGTGGAAGGATCATCCCAATTGCCACATTGCCTCCAGACCTCACTCAGTAATCATCATTGTTGAAACAGAATCTTGATTTGTCATTGAACACTACATTCTGCCAATCATCATATCAGGTAGCTCTGGAGAGATATTACTGCAAGAATTTATGATGATGGTGCAGTTTGAAGAATAGTCTTCACAACAGTTGGCTTAACTGCAAACTTGCCTCACCCAATCTACAAGAAACTGTCTTCATCACTATTGCAGCATGTAAATCTGCCTGTACACTATGCAGAATGAAGCCAGCTGTAAATTGTAGAGCCACTATTGCATGATGCCAAATGCATTTATCTGTGCATTGGGACATTTGTCCCAGTGCTGCAGTCCCACTGTGATGCACATTTCATCCTGAACACATCATCATGAAGTTTTGCTGATCACAGTCTCCAAATTTGACCCATGATTATGGCATCCTGATTATGGCATTGAGTTTCTGTTGCAATACAAAACAAAGACCACATGGTTGTACATAGTCCTATGATGAAATCTTTAGTAAACTCATCTGTTTGATAAAATGGTTCTTGATGGCATCTCAGAGGCATTGTCACTCTAATCCTTATTCAAACAAAAAAAAAATGACACAAAGCAACACAATAATATTTCCAAAGTTAGTTTCACAGATTAGTTTTTCCCTTTTATCACACTCCAAGATTTTGCAATTGGCCTGAAACTGCATCAATCTGCATAATGCTGTGACAAAATCTTCATGGTATGGCATTTTCTCTGTGAGACAGTGTATTTTTATCGTAACATTAATCAATCTAAAATAATAACTTTCAAAATCTGAAATAAATTTTTAAAATATTTTTCAGTCATTTTACATTTCTATAAAGTAAAACATGTATGTGTTTTTTCATATGTGTTTTTACACATATGAAACTACTGTATTTAGTTATACAATTTTTCTATTTATAGAAATATTAATATCAATATACAAAAGGATGAAGCTATTTAGAAACTAAATGATAAACTAGAGAATTTATAACATCTAAACTTAAAATTGACAAATTTTTGAAAGTCATATAACATGATCAAGATATATTTTTTCCAAAATTATTACAAAATCATCAGAAACTCTGATAATTTCACTTCTACATAAGATGTATTCTCTTCATTCTAATGAGACTATCTTCACATTCATCTTCTCTCAAAAGTTAAGGGAGCTTTCCTTAATGAATTGAAGTGAATATACAGCCTGTAAATTGTACACATGTTTGTATACCACTACTTCTAAGTCATCTTGTTTGAATATACTGAGAACTCAATATAATGGCATTCAATACAAGGTTGCAGATTCTTAACTTTACTTAATTCATTAAAGCCTAGCAATACAATAATGTACTGTACCAGTTGACATAAATAGATGTTTCATGATTTGTCATAATATTTTGCAAACTTTTCTGCAAAATTTCTACAGAAATATTATTTTAAGCCTTACTTTACTTTAACTTATGTAATGGCAGCACTCTAATTCTATTTATTTTTGACAGTAAATTAAAGGTTGGAAAAGTGATGATGTTCTTAACATTAATTTTGAACAAAATTTAGATATTTATAAAATCATTACTTTATTATTTAATAATTGCAGTCCAGGACCTAACTAATTCACAACCAATACTTTGAAAAGACAGATAATTTTTAGTTAATTAAACCTTTTTTCATTGAGAAATCCAAGACATATTCTTGATGATACATTTCTGTATCACTAGGCTTCTCCACTACCATGTATATAGTTTCTTGTTTTGTTAGGACAAAATTCAATATTTTCAAACTGAAGTTAACTGCTGTTCATATCTTGGATTATTTTAACCTACTACTAATGATTAAGCCAAATCATGTGCACAATGATTAGGTCAAAATGCATTTGGCCTGTTGGCATCCACTTGTACAATTAGCCAAATCATCAGAAATATATAAAATAAATGTATTACAATTCAAGAAAATCTAGTCTGTTTCTTAAAAATCATTTCTTTAAAAAATATTTTCATTAAAAATAAGTGTTATTTTTGACCTCTATGATAGATATTCATATATTGTCCATATCATGTACTGTTCATGTCTCTCTATATGTCATGTGTATTTGTTATTAAATTATTATAATTATTATTTTTATTTCAGATTGATAGTAACTGAAATACCTTCCTTAATGAAAGGTCATGATCTAAGTTAGGCAAGCTCTATATTGAGCCACCTGATGGGAGCTAATTGTCCAGTATAGATTCTATTGATGAGAATGCTGGCAACAATTTAAAAATATTTTTCCTAGCCACTTGATTGCATCTATAATAATGCATTAAGTTCTAGCTAGATCAAGAAGATCCGGTATACCACAGCTTGAATTCAAGAGACAAATATTTCAAACTTATCTTGTCCTGTTATAGAGCATCACTAAAAAAAGCCTAGATGTTCTCTTGATATTTCAAGATTCATTACAAACAACAGTGTGATCTCTGATTATATTCAGTATAATCAGTTGGATCACTTACAAGGGGAACCTGGAGGTTGTCATCACTGATTTCGACAAAATTTTGTGGATGTGTAGTATTTACTTGTACTTAAACACTACAAAAGCAGCAGGACCCACTATTCAGGTATTCTTGAGAAAATCGTAATTAAAATTTTTATAGAACTGTTAATACTTATGCAAAAGCACCATTCACATGTTTGTGGTGTGGCATGATTAGCTAAGGCATTGCAAGAAGAGCATTAATATGTGGATTCAAATCCCATATGAGATAAGTTTTTTCACATTTATAATTTAATCTTACTCTGGAACCTAGCAGTACATTATGTACCACCCTAAAACTAAAAATTAAAAGCTTAACAATCCTAAAGAGCTGTCAAATTATTGTAAATAGGTGTAATTAACTTGTTAATAAAAAAGTATAAAATTTTTTAAAAATTNGACCGTAATTATAGGGGGGTCGACTGTAGTTATTGAAGTTTTAACATCTGTTACAAATAACTGTGTTTATACAATAATGATATTTAATGCAAACATCAAGATTTGTTACAAAATAATTATTGATTTATGTTTGAAATAATGTAAAACTTATCTTAAACAAAATAATATAAAGCAGTAAGCATAATATATAAACATACCTATTAATTTCAAAATATAAATTATTAAAAACTGTTTTAGTTAAATTTTTATTGTTTTTGTTAAATGAAATGACAAAAATATTACCAAATCATTTAAACAGACATTTTCTTGTGTAATTTTTAACTAGATGGTATTTATTATTTGATTACTATAGATTCAAAATACAATGATAAAAATTGGCTAAATCTAATGGATTAAAATGTCACACTTTTTCATTTTTAACTTTTCTAATTAAGCTGGTTTTTCCCCAATTAGAATGTTATTCTTCACAACTATTTATAGCAAAAACAGAAATAATTCATAAAAAAAATAACAAGAGTTACAGACCCAAAACTTAATGTGTATTCTTCTTTAACACTTATTATGTAGACTGTCTAATTTAAGACATTATTTCACAAGCTAATAAGTACTTTCATTTTTCAGTTAGTTTTAATGGTTTTCAAAGCATTCCTAAGAGAATTCTCAAAATCATTTTCAAACAAAACATGCATGGTAATATTTACATACAGTACTATATTAAAATTACTGATGCAAGCAACAATAATTAATGGTAAGAATCAAGTATGAATAATGTTCTTTTTAGATCTGTAACTCTACTATATTTTTTTAAACTATTTTATTTTTTCCTAAAAAATAAAAAATAGCATTCTAATTAGAAAAATTTATTTCATTAAACAAATCCAAAATTTTCAAATCACCATATTTTATATGTTATATTGAAATGTAAATGAAATGATATATGTACTGTACTTGGTGCATTTATTTGTTGTTATATTTAGCTAATCTTATCATCCTATTATAAATCTAGAGTTTTGAAATTATAAATAACATCTTAAAAAATTTTCTACATCAAAAATTATGCAAGAAAATAGCTAATTATATTATCTTGTAGCATTATATAGTTTTATTATGAAAATATAAAAATGCCATGTCTGATAAATTATCATCTAATTTGAAAAACTACTATATTCTAAAACTAGACTACCCACTAATTCTACAATATCTGTTAAACTAAATATTAAGACATACTACTTTCTAGTTGGAAATAAAGGGAGGATTGGGATTAGGTAAAAATTATATACATGATACAGGCTTTTACAAATCTTACCTTTCCAATTTCTTCAGAATTTATAGTAAAAGTGAAATTACAATAAAATTTGTTTTATCATATTTAAAGAAAAATTAATCAAATGTAAAAGGTTTTTTGTCTTTTATATTTTGAAAATGGATTAATAATATTTTGTTCTGAAATATTTGTTTTTAAAATGTAAATTATTATTCACTCTATTACCAATGAAATTATCTGAATATTTTTTAAGCTATTTTTCCAAACATTTAAATTTTGTAAATTATAGATAAATTGATTTACTTCTCAATAGATTCAACAATACTTTATTGAATTCTATTTATAATTTCTCCTGAAGTAAGATAGATTATAAATACCTTCATGACTACCTCATCTTTTTTGACACCAGTGAAATGTGTTAGTACTACAAGTCTACATGAATGGCATAGATATCTATTTACAAATCATCTCATTTAAATATTCTCATGTAAACAATATATTGTGTGATATCATTAAATTTAATTTTATTATTATCTTATAATTCAGCTGACTTCACTTAACATCAATTATCTTATACATTAACATTTCCATACTAAAATGTAAATACTAATAATTATTTCTAAAAGTATACATCTAATAACACAAAATTGCTGTGACAGAATTTCAAGACAATTCACCACATAGAAGACATCAATGATCAACTATTTATCTAAGCTACATGTATCACCCAATTCAGGCATTTCATTTGTCTAAATCACTAACTGTTTGGACGTGCAGAAAGAAATTATCTAGAATTTAACATGCCAAATGAAAACTCATAAACAATACATCCAACACAATTTACTCTTCTATGCCTACCTCATTAACTACAAGGAGCATTCTAATCTGATATCCTTTAAAGCAGGAGCCCTAAAAACGATATATTTTCTAAACAGCTATCATATTTGCAATTTCACTTACTTGGAACACGGGATATTAACTTGACTGGACGCAAAACCTTGAAGGAACGCAGTGTGCGCAGATTTAAATTCTCTATATCTCGTGCTGTAAAATTAAGTGTCCTGAAAATATAGGGGTTAACAAATAGACCCCCTACCATAATCTACCCATACAGGAATAACCATAAGTAAAATATAATTACACAGAAAATAATAACCTCAAAATTAAATTACACAATTCTAACACAACAATGAATTAGCAAAAAATATTGAATTTTTAAAACTTCTTAAGCCAAGTATCAAATCAACTTCTTAATATAAGAATCAGAGAATGAAATATCAAAACATCCTATCATTTACATAAGATTTTGTTTTAATCAAACTAAACTTTAATCATGTTTTCAACATTTTTCAGCTATGATTAAATGAATATTTTTAGTTATTCCTTAAAAGTAAAATAAAAAGTAAATAAAACTAATGTGGTTTTTTAATCCTACAAAATAACATTATCATAAATATTTTATTAAATCAAAATATATTTTTAACTTACCCCGTGACAACAACCACAAAATCCATCATGTTCCAAATATTACGAAGATATGCTCCACGATGTAACACAAACCCAAGAGCTAGAATTTTTAAAGTAGCTTCTACAGAAAATATGGCTATAAAGTATGGTTCTGTTTCATCCTATAAATATGCATAATTTTTAATTGTCATATATAAAATTTATATAAATCTGTACAATTTAAATAAGTATGCAAATGAAAATAATACACAAATGACAATTTATATAATTTGTCATATACTGTATATATATATATATATATATGTATATATATATAGTCAAATAAACAGAGCTAATACAGCAGTAAGAAATGTTAAACATAAAGCAATGTAAAGCAAAGCAAGAAGAATATGAAAAACAGTAAACTAAAGATGAGAAAAAAAATTATATATAAAATCATCAGAAGGGAAAAAAACAGGACAAGACCTAGACTCTACTGCAGATTAAGGAAATAGTAAGTGCAATATTTATTATGATATAATTACAAGACAAAACTCCAGATGATGCTAAAAAGATTTACTATGTGATTATTGACTTTGAAAAAATCTATAACAGAGTATCAATTAATACAGTATGTTGGTTTTATATTTTTNTTAAAATAATTAAAATTAACACTTATTATTATTTAAAATTAAAAAATTTTTATAATTATTTTATGCTGCACCAAACGTGTCATCATCTTGATATGGTAGTGGGGCTTGTATCTTTCAATGATATGTAAAATTACATTGACAGTAGAGTGTTACTGGTAGGGCTGCCTAAGTTGGAGAAATCAACATTGAAAAAACTAGACAAATATGTTACCTTAATTCTCTAGCCTATGGTTACTGCTAAGATCTAATCTTCCTTAAAAATAACAAACTGCTAAGAAACTTGAAAGAGATAAACCAGACAGGAAAAATGGAGAAGACAAAGCAATGGAAATATAACTGTTTTTCATTTGCTGGAACATAGAAGGAGTGTTAATGAAGAGCCATTTGGTACAAAGGGAATGGAAATGTTATGAGATAGATGTGGCAGTATCATAAAAAGCTAAGAAGACAGAAAATGGAAAAGAAAAATGGGAAAATACATTTTAATGCATTTACCTTTTTTTCCTCTCCTTTCCTGTATAACAAAGTTAAAAGAACCTTGGGGATAAGGTTGTTTGTCGCAACTGCCATTAAAGAAGGTTTAAAATGAAATTAAAGAATTGGGAGTTCATAAACAAAGTGATAATAAAACCAGAGATGGTGTTGAAAGCCAGAGAAGTAATCATAATAGATGTATACACTAGTTCACAAAAGTATCCAGACACCTATAAAAGGGAAGAGTTTTTTAGTTAAAACTCATTTTTCACATAAAATAGAAAAAAAATAATGACAGATGTGAAATCTTCAGACTTTTTTACACTAGAAAAAATTTTTGTATGTGCAAAAAATATTGATCAAAAACAGAAATACAATTTTATTTCAAACTGTGAAAATTTTCACATCACAAAATTATCAAGGAAGATGAAATAAATAATAGAAAATGTCAGATTGTTTGCTTAAAAACTTGTTTACAACAATTTGCCTCAACAAATGAGTTAATTGTTTCATACTTGAATTGTTTTATTTTGTCATTGTGAACAATGAAAACAAACAAATTAACCATTGTTATTAAAAGACTCATTATTAAGGAATAGCAAAAGGGAAATTCTGTGCGAAACTTTGCTGAATAGTTTCACATTCCAAAATCACAATTCAAGATACCATTACAAAATTTCTTATAACAAAAAGTGTAGATAATAAGGCTTAAACTAGATGTCCTGAAATGTTTACCTCAAGGCAGAAACTTATCATTGTCAGGAAAGTGAAGAAAAATCCACGAACAATCGCTCCTGAGCTTGCTGTTGAGACTTATGTAGAATGCAGAGTACATACATCTGCAGAAACTGTCAGGAAAACTTTAAAAGCAAGTAGCTATAAAGATTTTATGACTATGAAATCTTTACAGCTACTCACTAGCTAAATTCATCAACAGAAAAAAACCAGCAATAATGGTTAAAGTTTGCAAAAGAGTTTTATACAAAATCAGTAACATTTTTGAAATCAATTTTTAGGTCAGATGATCCAAATTTAATGTTTGGTTCAAATGATTGCCTGAAAGTATGGAGAAAAGCTGGAGTATCTTTAAAAATTAAAAAATCTGATTCCTACAGTGAAATGTGGAGATGGTTTAGTACTATTTGGAGTTGTATGTCTGGAAATAGTGCTCAAACTCTGCAATTTGTTGATGGAATAATAAATCAATATGTGTATAAACAGGTTTTAAATAAAAATGTTCAGAAATCAGTAAGAAAATTAAGGTCAGGGTAAGAGTTTGTTTTCCCCTATGACAACGACCCAAAGCACACTTCGAAAATCAGTCAGTTTCTTGATGTGCACTGCATAAAAGTGCTTCCTTGGCCTCCACAATCATCCGACCTCAACCCAATTAATCATTTATAAGATCGCATTGAACAATCAATCAGAACAAAATCAATAACAAACATGCGACGTTCAACAGAGGATTGAGAGGACCAGCTAAAGATTCTACAATATTGTAGAATCTTTAGCTGGTCCTCTCAATCCTCCATCAAATGTCGCATACCCCAGATTATTTTTTGAGGCTAAAACCCATAAACCAATAAAAAAACTGATCTTAAAATCATCATCATCAGAGTTTTGAATTCAATAGACAAAGCTGTTATAAAAATTTGGATGGATCAATGCCTAGTTGTTATCAGGGAAAAGGAGGCCCAACTCATTCTTAAAAGTATAAAATATTTTGTGTTATCATTATTTATTTCTTCTCTCTGGATACTTTTGCAATGTGAAAATCTTCACAGTTTCAAATAAAAGTATATTTCTCTTTTTGATGAATGTTTTTGTACATGTAAATACTTTTTTCTAGTGTAAAAAAGTCTAAAGATTTTACATCTGTCATTATTTTTTTCCTATTTCATGTAAGAAATGAGTGATAACTAAAAAACTCTTCCATTTTATAGGTGTCTGGATACTTTTGTGAGCTAGTATATGTTCCAACAGATCACTCATTGAGAGAGGAAAAGGATTACTTTTGAAATAAATTCAAAGAGATAATGCAAGATTATTCAAAGAAAGAAAAAGATTGTTATCATAGAAGACTAACTCTAAAGTGGGAAAAGATGACAAAAGCAGAGAGGAAGAATATAATGACAATGGGAAAAGATTGATAGAGATATGTAAACAGTTTGACTTGATTATCACTAAAATTTTTTTTAATGCAGGTTTTACATAAATATACATAGCATCAGGAAAAGAGGACTCTAAAATCAATAATTGATTTTGTTATTACTAGACAAGAAAAGAGCTTTAAAATGATAATGTAAGAGTATTTATAAAAGCTATTTGTGGCTCTGATCACCATCTGACCACATCAGCTCAACGAAATGTGGCCATCAATAAACAGAACAAATGAAAAAGGAAAGCAAATTCAGGACAATAGGAGAAAGAGAATCAGAATTTCAAAGTACACTTTCTATAGGATGAGAGCATTAGAAAACATTATGAACATAAGATAAAGAATAAAATAGATACTTATAAAGGAAATGCAGAGGAAATTGTATATGTACTTAATGGAAAATTAAAGAAGTTAACATATGAGGAACTAGATACAAGGAAGGAAAAATGAATGAGAGAGAGAGGGATTTTTCTATAAGATATAGTGAAATGTATAAAACTAAAGAGAGAATTATCCCTGTAATCAAAAGTATTGGGAATGGTTCAATAAAACTCAAGATTTGAATTTATTCATCAAAATTTATTTTGTCCCCTTCAAAGTAATCCCTCCCACTGCAATGCACTTATGCCAAATTTTTTCCAATCCTTAAAACATTCTTGAAAGTCATTTTCATGAAATCCCTTCAGGACTCACAGCAAATTTTGTTTTATGGCATCAATCAACTCAAAATAGTGACCATGAAGCAGAAATTTTAGTTGAGAAAACAGGAAAAAGTCACAGTACCATATCAGGTGAATATGGAACTTTGCAGAATCATATTTGTTAAATTTTTGACCAAAAGTTCATGAACAATAAGAGCATTGTGAACAAATATGTACATTATCATGGTGCAAAATCCATGAGTTTTCCTATCACAAATCAGGACTTTTCTATGAATTGCTTGATGCAAATGACATAAAAATGCTCAAAATAATATTCTTTGTTGACAGTTTGGCCAGTCAGAAGGAATTTGTGATAACACTACAATTGAAGAGAATTTCAACATGACCTTGATTTTTCATTGACTTTGATATGGTCTTTTCAGTCTCGCTTTACCTTTTGAGCACCATTCATTTGACTATTGGGCTGTTTTAGTGTCAAAAGCATAGTTTTAACCCATCAAAACCCATGTTTTATCATCCATAATAATACATTTTAAGAACAATTTGCCTTGAGAGTGTATTTTCTTGGTCACTCAAACATGTTTTTAGAAAAAATTCAACATTTTTGATACGACTTAAGAAGTAACACTAGGGCCAAATGATCTTTCAAAATTTCTTGACAAGATCCAAATGATACTGGAACATGTTCAATAATGTTCCTAATTGTTAAGTGATGATCATTGAGTACCACATCTCTGATTTGGAACATGTTATTCATCAGTTGAAATAGATGATCTACAAAAGCTCACGGCTCATATTCATTCATGCATTCTCTGCCTTCCTTGAACACCTAGTATCACTCAAAACTCTTGTTTTTGATAGACTGTTGTCATCAAAGGCTTTTCACAACATTTCAATGTTTCTGTAGCAGTAATTCTGTTACGAAAACAAAATTTAAAGCACGATCTTCATTCGATTACAATAGACATTTTCAAAATTGCAGGTGCAAAAATTCTTTACACACAAAACAAGCACTTATTTGCAAACAAAAACAGATGATGACATATGGATAAATGCTGAATGTAAAAACTCGTACAAATGAAAAAAAAATTATGACAGCACCTCTTGCATGCATGCAGTTTAAATGAACCATCCCAGATACTTTTTGATCATAGTATACCTCAGGTGATCAACCTTAAAGAGTAAGTGAAAGAGAAAAGAATATGTACAAATGAAAAATATAGTAAAGAAAAAGT